CGCAGGACAGAGGGGCGGGACCAACGCCCCCCCGCCAGCCCCGCCTCCTCCCCGCCCGCCATCTTATTGTCAAAGCCCACAAAGAAACGGTCGTTTGCCCCCTCCTTACCCGGCCTGCCATTGGGCGATGCTTCCACCATGTAGCCACGCCCACAGCGAAATCTTGGTCGTCATTGGCTGTCTCCTGACCGTAAAGCACCACCCACACGGCATCCACCCTTCCATTGGATGACGGGTTACCATGGTGCTCAGCCCCACCCCACCCCCCTCCAACGTACGACTGGTTGAGGGGTTACCATAGAGCCCATACCCGCCCCTTAGCTGTCATTGGCTGAGGAAAAGAGCGAGGTGGAGTTTAACGTTCAAATAGCTGCCAATGGGCTAGGCGGGCCCCCTGCCTCTGCCTATTGACGTGACCAGGATCCTGGCCACACTGGCTCCAAAGCCAGCACGAGTGGGGCCTGCCCGAGAGCAGCCCGGGCTCTCTCCTCCCTGCTGCCCCGTGGTGGCAAAGGAGCCCCCCCCCTTACCCAGGACCCTGCCCTACTGCTGCATGGGCTCCTCCTGCACATCATGGCTGGGCACCATGTGCCCTCAGCGCCCAGCTTGAAATCTAGTGCATGGCACATGCTTGGCTTTTCCCTTAACAGCAACACCTCTGCTGCCTGCAGGCAGAACCCCAAGGGACCATCCCCACAGCCTTAGGGGGGTCAGACTATGGCTCAGCCTGCTCAGTTTCCTGTTCTGGCAGTAGCTGTTGCTAAATGCTTCAGAGGGAATGAATAGACCAGGGCAATTATTGAGTGATCCTTCTACACTGCAGGCGTCTTGCCCCAGAACTCTTTTGCAAAAGTCTGCCGCAAGAGCACGTCCGCAGTGATGTGCTTTTGCACAAGAGCATTTTGTGGATGTTCTCTTACCCAAGAAAGCTCTGATGGCCATTTTAGCCATAGGGGTTTCTTGCACAAGAAAACCCTATTGCTCATCTGTACTGCCTTCTTGCGCAAGAGGGCTTATTCTTTGTGGGGAGAAGAGTAACTCTTGCACAAGAAGCCCTCTGTTCTGATGCTTTACTGTAAATTTACTTGCGCAAGAATGTGCGTGCAGTGTAGACGCTCCGCTAGTTTTCGCACAAGAACGGCTGTTCTTGTGAAAGAAGCCTGCAGTGTAGATGTAGCCCTCCAGTTTTAGCTTCTAGCATAGGGTTGCCAGGTGTTTGGTTGTCAGCTGGAATGCCTAGTCAAAAATAGGGATATGATAGTATAAGGCAGATGTGGGGAACCTCAGGCCCCGATGCAGCCCCCACTGCTCAGTTCCCTTCCCCCTAGTATTGGGAAACCTGTGCTGGCTCTTCAGCCCCCCTGCCGTCCCATTGCAGGGCTGGAAGCACACAAAATCTACTAGGCTGGGCCTCCCTAGGCTCTGGTGTGCAATGGAAAGGTGGGGAATGTCTCTCTCCTCATTTGGGGCTGTGTCAGTGAGGGGTTTTTGTTTATTTTGCTTTTGTCGTGTGTGGCCCCCTGACCAAAAAAAGTTCCCCTCCCCTGTGAACAGTTAACTAATGATCTTGGTTTTATCAGTTAACCTGTACTGTTACACACAGCCCCTTCCCCAGAAGCGTGGAGGGTGGGGAGCCAGATTTTAAGCCAGCTTCCTGTGAGCACTGGCTTCTGGGCCCCCCCCCCCCCCGCCTCTGATAGAGAGGTTGCAGCACAGGTGGGAGCCAATACACGTAGGAAGGCTGATTTTAAGCTGGCTCCTTGTAGATTACCAGCAACCAAAGAGCCACTCCTTTCCATTCTCCCCCCATGCTGCTGCCTCTGATACAAGGATGTGATCATGTAAACATGCAACTGATACCTTGGGCCCACTGACTAGATTGTTAAAAGTATGATTGGTGGTGCAGTGGGTCAAAGGCAAGCTCTCTGCCTGCCTTGGCTCTGTGCAGCTCCAGGAAGGAGCCCCCTCCTCTGAGCAATGCGAGCCAGGGATTACTGGGAAGCCTGCATTTACCATGGTAGTGGGAGCTGGAGCAACCCTGCAGCCTACTTTGCTCTACCCCAGTGCCCTCTCCCAGCCCACTACACTTAGCTTCACTGTGGCAGTAGGAAGTGCCCTGGGGCCGAGGCATTCTGTTCCTGCTGCCAAGTGCAGCAGTCTGGGATAGGGCAGCAGGGTGGAATGGAGCAGGTTGCTAGGTTGCTTCTGCTCCCACTGCTGCCGTGAGTGGGAAGGGGGTGACCCCTTCTGCTGCCGCATGGCAGGCCCCCAGGTAATACCCTGGGCCCTGTCCATCGGATGGGTGAGGGCCCCCCGGCCCCCCAAAAAAACTTTGGGGTCTGGGGCAGACACCCTGAACCATCCTATGTATGGGACGGCTTTGAGGCTTGATGTTGTCCCCTACAAACACTTTGTTCCTAATGCTTAGCTGCTGTATTTCCCCAGCTCTCTACCTGCTGGTTGGCTCTCAATTGAGCAGAAAGGAAGGGCATGTCGGGTCTAGTTCCTGGCTACTTCTGAAAGGGGGTGAACTGCAGCAGCTGCTTTGCTGCTTCTGGCTCTGAGCTCTTAGAAAGAGGATGTGTGAAGGAAGGGTGGGGAGGAAAATGTAGGACAGAAAATTAAGATCCTAAAAGAGAGCTGGAGGAGCACAGACTGTAGGAAGAGCAAGAAATAAGATAGAACTTGGAGATTAGGTGCAGGGAATGTTCAAAACAAGGTTGTACTCTGTGCATGCCATTATCAATTAGGCAGAAGTCTGAAACAATGTAGGCTACAGATGTTAATGTCTTTTTTATACTTGGCTCTAACCTGCACTGTTCTGACCACAGCATGGTGTAGAATTCCCAGTCAAAATGCTAAAAAAAAAGAAATTGATATCAGAGGAAAAATTGTCATATTCAGACAGACACACCAGTTCCTTCTGGCCTACTTGCAAATAATGTGGGCCCTTATCCGTCAGTAAGGCCTGAAAGGACTATCCTTGTGCTAGCATAGAGTTCTGTTACTGGGTTCAGTAGGTGTGTTTCTTTGCAGGATCTAGACAATAAAAGTAAAGTGTAAAGTGATAACAAAGAGCATAAACATATACATATAAAGACAATATACATTTTTCTCCCTTAAAATTATCTTTTTTTAAGTTAGAAATATTAGATCAATATCTTCAAACTTTCAAAAAGCTCTCCAGCAAAATAAGAGACATTGTTAGTTTCTCATATAACAAGAGACTGAACAAGGAAGGTGTTTTACTGTTTAAAACTCTGAGGCCAGGTCTATTCTAGGATCTGGAAGGTTGGCTTACACAATTCAAGCTACATAAACAAGCTTGGTGCTGTCTCCACAGCAGGTCAACAGGAGCAAATGCTCCCATTAGCTTCCTTTACTTCTCTTGAATCAATGAGTACCCGCACCTACCAGGGGTGACCTTAGCATTTGATTTAGCTGTTCCTTACTAGACCTGCTAAATCAAAGACCAGAAGATGTATCTCCAGTATGGCAAAGGGTATGTCTAGACTACATGCCTCTGACGACAGAGGCATGTAGATTAGGCTACCCGGCATAGAAAAATGAAGCAGCGATTTATAAAACTGGCTGCCGCGCTGTGCCCATCAGCTGTTTGGCGGCACAGCGAGGTAGTCTGGACGCTCCACGGTCAACATCAAAGGCATTCGTCAACCGCCCCGGTAAACCTCATCCCACAAGGCATAACGGGGCGGTCAACAAATGCCTTTGATGTCAACTGCGGAGCATCCAGACTACCGCGCTGTGCCGCCAAACAGCTGATCCGCATATCATGGCAGCCATTTTAATTTAAATGAAGCAGCGATTATTTAAGTAGCTGCTTCATTTTCCTATGCCAAGTAGCCTAATCTACATGCCTCTGTCATCAAAGGCATGTAGTCTAGACACACCCAAACTGATATAAGACCAGAGAGAAAAACTCTGAAAGATTCAACCTTCTAGCTCTTCAGATAAGGTCTGAGGAAACTCCCATGGCAGTCCTCTAGCCAAGGACTGACAAGACTTGATATTTTTAGGGGAAAAATATAAAGGAAACTCAAGGATTGTTTTATATGTAAGAAACAAAACTTAGGAAATGACAACAATATATTATCTGGCTAAACCTATACAAAAGAATGTACCCCAAAAAATTACTAGAGAACAAACCACCACAGAGATAAAAATAAAGCTATAAAGAGAACAAGGCTTTATCACTTTTACCCTTTCAACCCATCCACCACATTGAACCAAACTCTAAAGACAGTATTGGAAAGAGCAGAAAAAGCTAGACTGCTAGTTTCCTATGAAGAACTTTCACCTTAGCAGGCTCCCACAGCACGGTGAAACGTTCATAACTAAGAATTTGTCTACATTGTCAAGGTGAGTGCTGTAACTTTCTTGTTCAGGGTTGTGAAACAACCTCCCCCAGTGCAGCAAGTTACAGCTCTGTAAAGTGCCAGTGTAAACAGGCTCCCAAAACTGTTAACTCCCCGGCTACGTCTACACTGGCACGATTTTCCAAAAATGCTTTTAATGGAAAAGTTTTCTGTTAAAAGCATTTTCGGAAAAGCACGTCTAGATTGGCAGGATGCTTTTCCGCAAAAGCACTTTTTGCGGAAAAGTGTCCGTGGCCAATCTAGACACGGTTTTCCGCAAAAAAGCCCCAATCGCCATTTTCGCCATCGGGGCTTTTTTGCGGAAAACAGTACTGTGATGTTTACACTGGCCCTCTTGTGCAAATGATTTGCGCAAGAGGGCTTTTGCCCGAACGGGAGCAGCACAGTATTTCCGCAAGAACACTGACGATCTTACATGAGATCGTCAGTGTTCTTGCGGAAATTCAAATGGCCAGTGTAGACAGCTTGCCAGTCTAGACACAGCCCCCTTGTGCAGGGGTGCTGGAACAATTTTTATGGTGGGGGTGAATCAAACTGTAATCTTTCTATATAGTGGTAATCTTGTCAAGCCAAGGGGTGCTGCAGCATCCCCCAGTACTTCTGATTCTGGCACCCATGCCCTCGTGGAGGTGGTTTACCTAGAGCCTTGGGAAACCTCTCTCTCAGCGCTTCTTCTGTGACCACACTGCCGTATTAAAGTGCTATCCCAGCTGCAATTTAATCTAGGTGTT